GCATTGAAGCCAAATCGAATTGTTTCTCTAACTACCTCAATATTGCCAAATCTAGAAGCAGGGTAGTTGATTAATTAAGAGTATTATGTAGACATCATAATCAGGTCAATACAAAGAATCCATAGATATTAATTAAAAATTTCACCAAAAATGCAATTACTATGAGAAAACATAGAGAGATTAGAAGAAGAACGATTCATGTGGAAGGAGAGAAGTTTACCGCCATGTCTATTTATGAAGAAGCTTGAAAGAAATCCGAAACAGAAATAATTCTTCTGCAGTTGACAGAAAAATACTAACGATTTTGAAACCTTATTTTAGTAATACAGGACCTGAAACTACCCCCACCTCGCGAGTTCGTCGGCTCCCTCAGGAGAGAGAGAGAGAGAGAGAGAGAGAGAGAGAGATGAAATAAAATGGAGGAATGAAGAAGAAACCGTCTTCAAAGAAGAAGAGTTGTTTATCAACCGTTGACCGGCGCCACCGGTCATCTTTGACCATTATTCTTTTTCTAGAAAATTTTATTACCAAAATTTACTGTATAGATTATTTATCAAATTCAGTGTCGACAAATAATTGGTAAAAGGTACTATGATATCGTTCAAATGATATATTCGTACTAGAGTTGCATACAGAAATGATCCTCACGGTTTACTCGAGTTCACGCTTTTAGTCCACCTTTTTTTTTTCATCTGGTCTATATAAAATAACTATTTAACCTCCTTTAATATATCTTTCTTTTATTTTTATTCAATTTTAATTTTAATTTAAAAAGAAATCTCTGCTCTCATCCCATCATGGTGCTAAAACTAATCGTTTTCTAGCATTTGCATTCAATGTTTTTTTTCTAGATTGGAAACGTATTGTGAAATAGATTTACTCACTAAATCAACCCTAGGTGTTGATGATTGAGGTGGGTTTGAGGTTGATTTTGTAGGGAATGAACTTCAAAACTTACTATGTTCCCTGAAGGCTTAAGTCATGTTCATAAATGTTAAATGAATTGGGAATTAAGGAGGGAATATTACACATATTTATAGTTACTAATTACAAGATCAAGAAAAGGGTGATGATGTTTACAAGTTCTTGGGATAACATTTAGGATGTTAGTTTGACGTTAGTAAACTCATATGTATTTTTTAGTTTGACGTTAGTAAACTCATATGTATTTTTTAGAAGTTCTTGGGATGTTATTCATATATGAATTGACTATGCGTTATTTACTATTTTATTCAATTATGAATAAAGAATGAGTTTTAATATAAATATGATACAATTTTGGGTTGTAGCGATTAACTTTATCTTGTTCTAAACGAACAACTTGGACTAAAGTTTCATGTACTCATATAGAAGTTTAGGTGGCTTGGCTAAATGGAACGATGGTCAAAGATGTATCAAACGAGTCAATCCCAATTGAACCTTGTCCACTTGGTACATTCATATGTAGTTTCATTTTTCTGCAACACTATCATATTTTCATACCGTGTTGTATGGTCCTATTGAGTTATGGTGAAGCCACATAAACAATTTCCTCAATAAAAAACTTAGATTGAGACTCAAAGCTTGTGTGTATATGTGATCATACCATGTTCACTATATATGTGTAGCGCATTGTGCTTACCGATATACCTTGACATGATGATCAAATCTTGGTCGTTACCTAGAGGGTGAAGGTCGTAATCTAAATCACTTTCGAGGGTAAGAAATTAGTAGTAGATAACTTCTATTTAGGAACCAACCATACATGTATCTACGTCGTAGAGCTTCAGTGAACTTCCCACCATGGTGAATCCGAAGGGCAGTGATGTTATCAGTGTCGGTTGTATGTCTAAAAAAACGTTCAAAGAAGTTAAGTTGTCATTAAGCATACAAAAAGCATACTAGGGTAAAGATCATTAAAACCCATTTCGAACTTACCGTAAAATTCATAGACATCAGTTTGACTTGACATTGCAAGAACATTCACATTGTTGGAAGAATTCTAGAAACCATGTAGTAATCAAAAGGATTTTCTTTGAAGATGCACTGAAATTTTTTAATCGCCAAGCGTGGAAGGAAAAATAAAGACAGTGTATCCTCGATGATGTTAACCGACAACTATGGATGACCGGTGATAATGTATGCTATACTTACATGTAATTATGGCGCGAATTCAATTAGATAAGAGAGATAAAAGTAAAAGGACAACTTTTCCCTTACATGTTGTACACGTGACAGGGAGAAAACGACAACGTTCAAATAAAGTTTGCTCAAGGGATGGGCACTATAATAAATAAGAACCGCATGGACCGGCGGTATAATAAAAAAAAATTGGACCAAAATAGTCTATTATATCAAACCACATAGACCATTTATGTAATTTGTCTTTATATATAATTTTGTTAGTAGAGGCCTTTAAGAAATTAAATAAAGAGAACCCAGCTACCTCCCAACCGCTTGTATTGTAATTGGCTCATCCAGTTGTATCGTTCGCCGTTATATCAAAGTTTTTCCCTTTTTTTTGTTAATACTAATTGAATGGAGTGGTTGTTTTTGTTAATATCCACTAAAATAAACTATTTATTATTTAAATCATAATCTAAGTTTATTTATAAAATATTCCAATATAATTCGAATTATTTTTATGTCGTTTGATCAATATTGTTTTTATCCTAAACGCCAAACATTCATTTCTAAATTCCGTATCTTAAAATAAAGGGAGAATTTCGTATATGCCCTTACTAAACATCTAAATATCATATTTGCCCGATATAAACTCTAAATATCATATTTATCCTTCTTAATCTTTTAAAATATTGGATATGCCCAAATCTATTTTTTAAACATTTTTAATCAGTTTTTATATATTTTTAATCGTATTAATTTATGAGAAAATGCTAATTGACTAAATTGCCCTTCAATATTAAAACCATACATTTGACTACATTCTTTTCAACGAAATAGTACAATTCCTTAGACGTGTATGTGTCTGTGATTACAGTTCTTTTCAATGAAGATGAAGTGATTTTTTGGTGCAAAACATAAACTTAAAAATGTTGAGAAAATCAAATAGTGGGGATGTTCACCGATCAA